GATAGATGCCTGCTTGCATGCATATGGTTTTGGTTCTATACAACAAATAATAAGGATGATAATGCACAATTTCGATTTTCCATGGATCTTCTTCTTCTTCGGCCATGGCTCACGTCTACCGGCAGATTTTCTAAGCAGTTTAGTTTTCTTAGGTTTTTTTTCGTAGTTTGTGGTTTACATTCTTGGCTTTTTTACGATTTTTTACATATTTTTGTAGACTTTTTTCTCCATGCGCAAAAAAAATCTCTAGAATGTGTTTGTTTGGTTGTTAAGTTGTTAAAATGCATAAAAATTACAGTTAGTTTTTGCTTTACAATCCATCCCAAAACCAACAAAACACCATTATTCCACTGCATGTCCCGCTTTACATAAAGGGGGCCATGTACTTAGCCTTGCTGTGGCAGAAGTAGATGTCGACAGACTTGTAATGCACTTGAAATTGCATTTTGTCCGTTTGTTCTTTTGGTTTTTTTGCTACTTTTTACGAGGTCGTTTTCCCATTATTATTGTTGTTATTATTTGAGCTGAAGATAACTTTGGTCTCAGTCTCTCATAGTGGCTGTTGGTACTTGTTGTAGGTTGCACATTTGGCTACGCAGTTGTGTGTTACATATGTTTTATGTCATCTGCTTGAGGTTGGTGGTTGTAACCGCAGGAACATTTTTATATGCATTTTGCCGTTATTCGCGAAAAACAAGCAAGCAAGTGCCTGACTTGTCTTTTGCGGTAATTAAAGTATTTGTAACATATTGCATATTATTTGGAGAGAGAGAGAGAGAGAGAGAGGCACGAAAGGTGTAAAACATGTTCGTGGGGTTCGATTTTTTAGGATTCCAGGAAGCAAATAAAATTGTTGGCATATTGCCCCTCATATTACATTGTTTTAGAATTTGCTGCATCTTAAGGAAAACAACTATATATTCTGAAAACAAATCCAAAAAGTTTTAATTAAATAATAATAAATAAACAGGCACCCTCCACCACCTTGTTTATCAAAGTTAATTGGAAATTGTGGCAGAAACCTCAAAAAAATACCAAAAATCGAGAGGTACCATTATATGAGGGCTATACCAATTACTGGACCTTTAGTGAATATTTTATCCAAAGAGATAACAGACCTATCGAGAACCTCAAATGTTAAGTTTCATCTAATTTCGTTGGAAATTGTGGCAGAAATCTTCAAAATCTCCCGAAAATCGGAAAGGTACCGTTATGTGGTGGCTATACCAATTAGTGGATCTGTAGCGAATATTTTTTGCGGTGACAGAACAGACCTACCGAAAACACCAAATTTCAATTTTCACCTAATTTGATTGGAAATTGTGGCAGAAATCTTCAAAATCTCCCGAAATCGGGAGGTAACGTTATATGGAGGCTATACCCATTTGTGGATTTGTAGCGAATATTTTTGCGAAGAGATAACAGACCTACCGAGAAACTCAAATGTCAAGTTTCACCTAATTTGGTTGGAAATTGTGGCAGAAATCTTTAAAATCTCCCGAAAATCATGTAGCGAATATTTTTTGCAAGGAGATAACAGACCTACCGAAAACACCAAATTTCAATTTTCACCTAATTTGGTTGGAAATTGTGGCAGAAATCTTCAAAATACCGAAAATCTGGAGGTACCGTAATATGGAGGCTGTACCCATTAATGGACCTGTAGCGAATATTTTTTGTAAAGAGATAACATACCTACCGAAAACACCAAATTTAAATTTTCACCTAATTTGATTGGAAATTGTGGCAGAAATCTTCAAAATACCGAAAATCTGGAGGTACCCTTATATGGGGGCTATAGCTAAACGTGGATCAATATAGCCCATTTTCAGTACCGATTAGCTTGCATATGATATAAATCTTTGCACCAAAACTCTAAATTAAATAATTTGGACTCTATCGTGATTTCAACAGACGGGCGGACAGTCAGATGAACATAGCCAGAACGCCTTATAATTGTATTCTGATCAGCAATATATGTCGTTTTAGGGTCTCCAATGAATATTTCGAGATGTTGCAAACGGAATGACATATTTAATATACCCTCCATTTTATTGTGGAGGGTATAAAACGTGGTTAAAAGTACATAGGCAAAGTTCTACTCTATTCCTCCCTCACCTTCCGATTGCAATTTTCCGACGCATGTCTTTGAAAATTTTTCAAATGGCATATTCTCAGAATGTCTATACAAAATGCACGACACAAACGCTAGTAGTCTACCAATTTTTTTTTTAAAATTCACGGCTTTGATTATTTTTCAAAAAATAATCTCAAAACTCACAATAGCTGGTCTAATTATCCTTTAAAAATGTTTGTTTTTTTTTTCAAAAATTAACGTCAGAAGTCCTTTGAAAATTTCCAAAAGTGTGACTTTATTACAAAACAAAAGACTTAAGACACATACCTGATTTAGCTGACCTTCCTCAATTTCGCATTGAAAACGAAATATTCAAACGTTCTTAAAAAAAACCAAGTTGAATGACCGTACACATGCTTCTGCTTTTCTCTGCCGAACTATTACAACATTTGCTTTCCTAAAACAAAATGTAAGCTATACCAGAAATCATGTTACACACGCTCCAAACACTCGCAATCCGCAAACTGCAAGCAACAAAAGTATTATTTTTTTCGTTCGCCTGGATTCTCATAGCAAGTCTTCGGTGAATGGCCAATTTTAAATACCTACAACATACATGCATGGCAATACAACATATTGGACAAGATTCTTCTTACTAGGCCCATGCACATGGTTCTTGCTCTAGCCAAGTTGTGTTGCTCATAGTTTCAGCTCTGCAAACCTAGATATTTACCTAGAATCAGTTGTTGTTGTTGTATGTCTTCTACATTTGTAAAGAATCTCTTTAAAGTGTTTGTGTAAATATGTGTGAAATATTCCATCTTCAAATAACACCAACACCATTGCATAGCACTAATGTGTATTTAAAAGTTAATTAAGGAGATAGAGGTAAGAAAAAAGCTACGGCAAATCAAGAGCATTTCCTCTTAATTAACACTTTAAAAGGAATAATGAAATAGCCAACGTGCCACAGGTTGGAAAAATAGATCAAGAAATAGAATAAAGATGATTTCCTTAACATTTGCTGGTAATCAATAAAGAAATGGGGTTCAAGAAACAATATTTTTGGCTGGATAACATACATATCTTCAAGCTTTAAATTCTACACAACCAAATCAGGTCACTGCAATCATCACCATTTTTAGCTAAACTTATTTACCCCCCACATAGTGTCTTCTGGTAACAAATAGCATGTCAAATTTATAATGAGAAGTAACAAGGAATAGTTACCATACGAACGGAAGTCTATGTCTATTTAAAATTCTTTGCAACTACACACCTGCTTTTAAGCCGAAGAAAAACAAAAAGAAAATGCAAATCCTAAAAATTCTAATAAGAAAACACTTGAAGTTTTTGTTTTTTTTTCGCTACGTTCTGTCCGGTATTAGAAATTTCTTTCTTGGCAAATTGTAGTCGGTTTGTCGCCTGCTTTCATATTCCCCTTCTTCCTGGTTGAATTTCGCTGGAAAACACCAAGTGAGTGAGATAATAAATGACTTCCCTAAGTAATTTTTCACCAGCGATTTACATAAATGTCTAAGAGAACATAACCTCACACAACAACAACACCTGTTGTTCTTGTCTAGGCGAAAGAATGATTGCGATAGCTTAGGGCATTGAAAATGCAGCACAAAAAAAGGTGAAATAGAATTGAGCGAAAAGAAAAATCACAAAACACATAATTTGTCAAATAATTTAAAGACATATAACACAATGATCTAGTAAATCTCAAGAGTAATAAAAAAAGGAAATGTATCTAGTGAGAATATGCAACGGTTTCGTTGAATGCAAAACTTTGAGATTCAGAAGTCATGGCCTAAGTTAGATTGTATTTAGACAAGAATAGTTTTATTTGAAAGAAAACTGAAATCTTTTACGAAACTTTCTGGGTATGAAATTAAAACTTCCGACAATTTTCCTAACACTATACTTCATTTATAATCTTAATTAGTTCTTGCCGAACGCTTTTAGAATACAATAAATTGTAATCCCCACACAATACAAAATTATTAGATTTCTTACTACGGAATGTAATCAAGGTTCCGGATAATCCTGTTTTCTGTAAGCATATATTTATATTAATTGTTTTTATGACCAAAATAGGAAACTCAAAATTTTGAGTTTGTAGATAGCATAGCTATCTACGGAATGCAATCAAACGATAACCGCGGATAATCAAGTTCCGGATAATCCTATGTTTGTTGTTAGCATATATTTATTTCAATTGTTTTTATGACCAAAATAGGAAACTCAAAATTTTGATTTTTTACAGAGCATTGCCTCCAAGTAAATGTTCGGTTCCATTAAAAATCTAGAAAGAGAAAAACTAGAAAAAATGCCATTATCGAAATATGTAAAAAATAGATTTCACCTGTCTTAATTTCCTTTGCCAATCCAAAGATAAACCCTGCTACTGCTCCTCCTCCTCCTCCTTTCGGCAACTTGCCTATTAAGATATTCAAGTTTCTCTTGATACCCCACAATATCATGATCTGGACGCAAGCTAAATTTAGATTCCAACTTCTAACAAATTGTCCATTAGTCAGACACTTCTTTTTATCCGAGAACCAGAACATACGTACATGCAAACACAGATTGCTATCCGGAGATTGTGTCAAGGCAAAGGAAACAGAAGAGCCAGTCATTGAAACGTTGTTATGGCATTTGCAAACACCATCTACCCGGTTTTTTTGCCAAGAGGAGAAAATTATATTTGTGTTTAAAGCCGGCTGCTGCTGCCGCTGTTGTTGACATGAAAAGTGATAATTTACATTTGTCTTGAGACAGTGACTGGTGGTGTGCCATCACAGAACGGAGAGGACAATAAATTATAGTAATTCTAAAGAAATTAAAATTTTTTCTTGCCTATTACAATAAAATAAAAAAATTAATTAAATTATTTCTCTTATTATCATCTTTTCAGCTCCCCTGCAAGATTATACGGAAATCCAACAATATACAGGTAAGAATCTTTTGGCTTCTAAATACATAAATGAATAATTGCTATTAACATGTACGGGCAAACAAGTTGGTCTACCAGTTTTGTCTTAAAGACTTTTTGAGTATAATTACGCCAGGTTCAATGTTCTTATGCGAGTATAACAAAATTTCAATTAGCCATTTAGCCGTTGAACATTCTCCATGGTATGTATGTGATTACCGGAAATTTATGATGAACACCTCCTGCCTGATGATCATCATCATAATCGTAATGACGATGATGATGATGATGATGGCGAAGAGAATGGTGCACAGTTTTCATTTTATAGCTCAAAAATATAACATGTGTTGTTGGGTTATGTTTAGAGGAGATTGGCCGGACGGCAAACTAAATAAAATTGTTGTAGGATTATTTTTTATTACCTATTTCTTTCTTTCTTTTTTTTTTTTTTTTTTTTTTGAAAACATTACATCACGCTTGTGCTTATGCAAATTACATAGATTTTAAACTATTGCAGATGACCGTTAGTTTTCTTGGATAATTATAGAGCGAGGCAAGCAAAAAACACCGACCATGATGGATTTATTAGAAAGTTTGCATGCCGACTATAAATGCTTAGTTTTAGTTTGAAAAATTAGACAGTATAGTACGGGAGATGCAATATTAGATTCAAGAAACAATCCTTGATCAATGTATAGGAGATGCAATATTTGATTCAAGAAAAAATCCTAGATCAACAAATAAGCTATGAGAGGAAATTTTTAAGACATTACCAAAATTGGTCTAAAATTTCATTTTATAACTTCCCAGTGTATAAATTTGGCGGACATATTACAGTTTATTATAGTACAAATTCAATTGCATTAACAAAATTCCTTAGCTGTTTTATTGCATTTACCATGATCTGATTAGGATGTGGTATGGAGTCGTTTCCTAAGAATTGGGATCTGATATTTGCAAACGCTGAGCATTGACAGAGAAAATCCTCCAACATTTCACCATCCTCTCAGCATGTCCTGCATATACTGTTATCTGAACATACTATTGTCCAAGTTTACTTTTGCTAATTCCCTGCCTGTTATGGCGAGATAGTTCTATCTCGTTATATCTAATAATCTTACGACTTCGTTCCCATATAATGCGTAATGAGCCGTGCTGAGAATAACTGTTGATTGTTGACATTAAGCCAGTTTAGACACTCTGCACTCGCACGGACCTCCGATCGTTTTATGATCGAACACACGAAAAAAGAATACGATATAAAGTTCTTCAAAAAAAATTCTGTCCCGCTCTGCCTGGCACTGAGCCGTCTGTGTAACAACAGTTTCCAGTGGGTATTTGTGATGGGAATCCATCGATCCACGAGTCTCTGGTAGGAATTAATGTGGCAGCTACAATTGTTTCAGGTATCAGGTCCGATACAAATTTTTCCATTGGTATCCTTAAAATGTTTTGATAATATGCCACGTGGTCTTTATTTATCCACTCATCAGTCGCCTTGAGGGTCCATATAATATTGTCTGTAAGGCCCTAGTTGATATTGCATTGCACAGCAAATTCTTAAACAGCACATTCGTTGGACTTTCTGTAATATTTTAGTATTACATTTTTTATCCATAGCTGTCCTCCGGACTACTGATGCATATGTTAGAATGGAGCTACCCACACTTTTGAATTGGATGAAAGCCCATTGTTAGCCTAGCTTTTTTAGCTCTTTCTTGGATGTGGTCCCTTCAATTAAGTTTCCTATCTAGAATCACACTCAGATTTTTAACCTTATTGAAAATGTTGATTGTCTTGTGTACACTTTTTTTAATCGGAAGTGCTCTCGATGTGGCGTACAACCTCATATAGTGCGGCTTCCCAAAAAGGGCCTTTATCGTATGCATATTGTTAATATTTAAGCATATCGTTTGAGATCTTGCTCATGGTGCCGATTGTACGTTAAATGGTTTTGAGTTAGATTTATCAGTCGATAACACTTAGGTGTTGCGTAACTTGCCTTACCGGGGTTGGGGATAAAAACTGCCTTCACCTAATGTCAGGCTTTTGGGGTATATGCACATTTTAGGCAAGCCTTGGAAATTTCGGCTAAGTTCGGCGAAATTTAGTTTACTTTCTTTTGGAGCAGAGCCGGAAAGACGATATCTGGTCCTTTACAATTGATTAATCAATTTTTGGTGGTTCATCATCTTATATATGCCCTCTCTAGCGATTCTTCTATTGTTTTCTCTTATTACCCAACATCATCCACCATTATTACGTTAAATTTATTGAGATCTGTCAATTATCGAGGTAGAGATTTTATCGGCCGATAAAACTTAGGTATTGCTTAACTTGCCTTCCCGGGTTTGGGGATTAAAACTACCTTCGCCTAATGCCAGGAGTATAGGCACATTTTAGGCAAGCATTGAAAATTCCGGCTAAGTTCGACGAAATTTAGTTTACTTCCTTTTGGAGCAGAGCCGGAAAGACCATATCTGGTCCCACTGGCTTAAACGGTTTGAAACTTTCAATGACATCCTTTACCATCTACTTATCAATTTTTGGTGGTTCATCAGTCACATTTCTTCTATATGCCCTCTCTAGGCTCTCTTCTATTGTTTCCATTTTATTACCCACCATCATCCATCATTATTGCGTTAAATTTATTGATATTTGTCAATTATCGAGGCAGAGATTTTGTATTTAAACACGCCATCGGATTTGTTTTAAGCCTACATACCTACAGTATGCAACACTGGTTTTTTGATCGAAACACTCCAGAGTCGCATGTGTTTTCGTAAACGCGTTGTTTACACTTTGCTAGCATGTATTTATGTAAGTTCTACACTTGGTAGAAGAATATAGGTAGACGCATCGACTGTCAAACCTATTTTAGAATTGAAAATGTTAAATGAAAAATTATTTAAATTTGTAAAAATTGTTGAAATATGTGTGTTATAATATCCTCCGAATGATGTCGTATAAGAAAACATATAAAAATCTATTTATATTTGAAAAGACATTTAAAATTTTTAGACATATCAATGTTCCCAAGCATTGAGGCTTCTACCTGTATTCTGTCTTGTTTGTATCCCATAATGTGTAATTTTCTAAAAATCCGACTCCAAATTAAAGTTTAGAATATCCAACAATGGAAAGTTTTCAGTTTTTGTGGAAACCCCATTTCTCCCACTTTATTGTTTCCATTATTTGGCAGAATTTTTTTACCTTCATGGAAAAATATTGTTATTTGACTGAAATATTTCTCGCAATATTAAATGTGCATTAAGTCAAACAGTTAAGCTCATTAGAATCAAATTAGACATGATAGATATGAAAGGCCAATATCAAAGTGTGGGAATTTTTCAATTCTCATTTGAGTATCATTTACAAACCAATAAAAAAATAACTATAAATAAATGAATTTTAAGTGCATCATAAAGAAACAAAAAAATCTACAGTTTCCGCCACAGCAAAACCCCAATATTATTAACCAACTATGAAAACATCCGTACAATTACCTTGAACTTAAACTTCAATATTTGTGCAAAAATTATGTAATTGATGGAAATCGAAAAAACAAACTCCAGCTTCTGGCATACAAAAACCAAACTGACTTCTTCCATCGCCCAAAAACAGAAATAAGGCAGACAAGTCTATAATGTGGTTTTCAATTCATCTCTCTCTCCCTCTCTTTTTACTCCTCAATTCATATAATCGGCAAAAACCACTTGAATGAAATAAACACTTTGGTAACATAATAAAAACAAACCCCCGCACCCTCCATATTGACCACAGAGCAAATAATATTGTCTGGACTGATTTGCTTTAATGTTCATCTTCCTTTTTATCAGACAGCCAACATGTCTGACTAGCCACCAGCCGGGTCAGCCAGCCAGAAAAATATTTCACATCACAAATAATGGGTAGGTGCTAAGCGAACAATTAAATGTTAAATACATTAAATAAAACACGTTTCCGCAATGATATGCCGGCTCACAATGTATCACAAGCCATGCCAAACAGTAGCACTGCATGTTTCCACTCAACAATCACCCAAAAAAATCCATTTGATGTCATAATACAATAAAATTGTTTAAAAAAAATATAAATAAAACAATAGACCGGCAAATGGGAGATTTATGAGGCCAGGTCCAATATTTAAAACTGTGAACGAAATTCCAAAAGCTGTGAATGGAAAAAATAGCGAGCATGTTATTATGGAATAATAAAATGGTACTACATTTAGCACAGCTTAGGTTTGATAGGTTTACAAATCACATACCGGGTGAGATAAAAAAAACTGCAACAAAGTCAAACGCCATATATTTTTTTTAAATTTTATTTAATGCTTTCATATCAAAAATATCGGGAATAGCATCAAATTTTATAATAAGTTTAGATTTGTTCGAATTGGTCACCTTTGGCACGAATTATGGCCTTCAAACGGCCAATGAGACCGTCCCACGCTGCCCGAATGTTGCTCTGCGGTATTTTGGCCCATTTCCGGCGAAGCGCTTGCTTGAGGTGATCAACACTTGGATATTTTTTAATGCCAACCTTGCTTTCCAAAATACTCCAGACACAATAGTCCAACGGATTGGTATCCGGAGATTTTGATGGTAATTGTGCGCTGGAAATGAAGCGAGGAACCTCATTTTGTAACCATTCTTGGGTGGCGCATACTGAATCCGATGATGCTGAGTCCTGTTGGAATGTCCAGGGTCTGTGGCCAAAATGTTTGCGAACCCAAGGCGTTAATACACCCTCCAGAATATTTTAGAATATTTTATTTTGATGCCACGGTCGATTAATACGAGCGGAGAGCGACCATCGGCTGTTATGGCGGCCCACACCATCACCATAGCCGGCGCTTGAATTCTAGTGGCCAACCGAAGGTGCACATTTTCAGCTGACCTCTTTGGCAAGTAAACATGATCTTTTTGTGTGAAAACGAATGTTTTCTCATCGGAGAACACCAAATTTGGCAGTTCACCACTTCCGGCCAAGCGAAACAACTCTTTAGCTCTTTCGAG